ATTTAGTTTGTTAAAATCTAATTGTAAGAGATTTATATCAATTTGTTATTTAACTGTGTAAATCAGGATTATTAGTTCCATTTGGAAGAACACGTATTTGAAAAAGAAGAAGAAGAAGAAGAATAAGAAGAAATATAAAGAATAATATAATACCATTCGCGTATAGATAGATAGATAGATATATTACATAGTTGTACATATTATAACGAATCGTCAATATAAACGCAATACCAATTGAATCGAATAAACGGTTGAACAATTGCATAACGGTTCTCTATTCTATCGATCTTAATACTACTGCTTACTTCATAGCACTGAATGCAAAATAGGGGTCATTTAATTAACGTTTGACCAAACTAGAATATATATAGATATATATACATGGATGTATTATTCTGCTTTCACGAGAAAATCATGAAGCAAAATATTACAAGGAGGCATATATATTCGTGTCTTACGTTAATCAGAATTAATTTTTATTTAAGACTATATATTTATCATAGATATCAAGATCAGTTAATTATAATCTATTTGTCATCGATCTATACGTGTGGGGGTGTATGTGTTGTGTAAAATTAATCTCTCTTAGCTATAATTAAAAAGATCAACAGATCTTTATTCTTAATCAACATCGATCATTATTAATTCTTCTTTTTCTTCTTCTTTTTTTCTAATAAAATGTTGTGATAATTTTTACACGAACGAGTTATTTAGTTATTAAAACAAACGAGCACATGTCACGAACGATTAGGTGCATAGGAAAAATTTTGCTCAATCGTATATTAACCGATCTTTCTCCCGGATAAAATTAAAAACGACGTAAATCAATTTGGACACATTTTTCCTTTTTTTTCTTTTTTTTACAAAATTATGATTATCAAAATATCGCGAGTGATAGTTCATTGTATTTAAAATCCAAATTTTTGTTTATAATAATTACAAGATTTTTGTGTACGACAATCGCGATTATTTAATAATTGAAAATAAATCATTTTTTATAGATATAGTAACAAATATAATAAATCATTGTAATAATAATACATTATACAATATTATATTTTCATTTGTGTATTTTAGTTAAAAAAATTGATTCGAAAACGTACGGTTCGTATATCGTATAATTTATTAAATAAGATAATTTAAAACACATTCCAAATTCGTCGGGAGATAAATATGTTTTAGCAGAGATCAAATAAATTCTTAGAAGATTTCGAATGAGATCGCAGCAGACACGATGCGTCGTTTCGATAAGCCAAGACAGTTTCAAGCAAAGATTGCCAAGTGTTACGCGAATTGAGGGAGTAAATGAAAGAAAGAGAGAGAGATAGAGAGAGAGAGAGAGAAAGATAGAAATGAAAACAAACTATTAAAAACAAAAAAGATTGAAAGAGGAGAAGGAGGATGAGGAGGAGGAGGGGGAGGTATTTAAGTTGGCTAGCAGAAAACTGTGAAGGTGGATTGAACAGTCTAAATCCTAAAACGTGTGTGTTAGTATAAATAATATAGAGTCATTTAAAATAGTACATGTCAGCAGGTAGGATAAGCCTTGAACCGACTAAAATTAGTGGAGGTGTAAATATATTCCAGTGACATTGTTCCTACACAGTTGCGAACGAGCAGTTGACTGAGAGTCCCCTAATGGTCTCTCTCAGGAAGTCAAAATTAGGAGATCGATTACAATAAAGCTGCCTGTCCGTATCTCTCAGTACCGAGACCATCGTACGATATTATTGTGCTAAAAAAATATTGACCAGTAAAGTGATACTAAATAAAATATACAATTTAAACGATTAAAAAACATATAAAAATATGAAATATATCCAAATTTTTAACATTACATATAGTTATTAGGATAATAGGTATACGAGATTGTGTGATAAAAATGATTAATAGTTTTTAAAAAGAATTTTGAAACTATGATCTTTTTTATTGTTCACAATAAAATGACGATTAGAAATATCAAATTTTGAATACTTTTTTCGTAGATAGAGAATATGAATATTATATTTTGTTTTTCTAATTATTTATTATTAGGATAATAGGTATACGTTTGTGAGATAATAATGATTAATAGTTTTTAGAAAGAATTTGTAGAAAAAAAAAATGAATCAATGAAAGTATGATCTTTGTTATCTCTCTCGTTAAACAAGATTTATTCGATTAATTGTGAATAATATGACGTGTTGAGAAAGAGAAAAAAAGGGAAACTAGATTTCTCGGTATACACAATTGATGAAAATGCGTTGATTGTTTTAAAAGATTGTTTGATTCAGCTCGTCCGTCATCATACTTCATCGTCCAATTCATTTGTCCAAGTACACTTTGCATATTGCTTCTTCCATTGTCCTGCCTATGATTATCTCATTATTACGTAATCTTGTATAATAGGTAACTAACAGGTATTTTTGATTATCTCTTCTAAATTCATATGATAATTAATGTTTAATTAATCTTAAATTGTGTGTCGTTTGTAAATTCAATAGGAGGCATTTACTACCAACAATCAAGAAAAACTAATAAGTTTTTGCGTCAACGGTTACCGAAGGAAACATTATTTCCAATCTAATTGGTAAGTTTCTATAATATAATATAGAACATATTATACACGGTGTCCTGTAATTAGTACAAACAAATTGAACTTGCAATCTCGTAAATGAAAAATCTTCTTCGTTAATCATATTGACAATATTTGTAAATATATATTTAACAAGCATACAAATGATCATTGAAATAAACGAAAAAATCATTGAGCTGAAAACTCGATTACTTTCAAATTTATTTTTCTCGAAGAAAAAAAAAACAAACAAGATTTATATATGAACAAATTGTATTTTATATTTTCCCCATTAGTTATTCAAGTAAAAACTTCTATTCATTTGTATCATAAAAGTTAAAATACCTTTCGTATATTATCTTAGATAGTATCTAAACACTATAATAATATTTATTCAATTTATTAACAATCATTAGAAAAGTTATTATTATTTAACTTCGAAATTATCTTAACTAATTATGATGGTATTGAAAATTCGTGTGTCCAAAAATAAAAAATTGGTAGAATTTCTTGTTGAAAGGTAAAATAAAAAAGAAAAAATGAAAAAAAAAAATGGTAAAATGGTAATATACGAGGAGCAATATTCGAGGAAGAACTTTAAACGATATCGATATCAGCCTATGTACAAAAATGAAGTACGCATGTAGATACATAGGTATATATATATATATATACATATATGAATCGATCTCGTTGGTTCACGATTAATCCAACATATGGGGTAGATTCTTGATCTATATCAGAGTGGGGAGAATTGACGTTGAATATATGCGTGCACTCTGCATCGCGATGTTATTGATAAGAACTTAAAAGTCTTTTGATATTCCGTTTGACTGAACTTGGCTGACTCCATGTCCTTGCTTGCTATCTAAGCTAGTTAAGAAGTAGTTAAAGCGAAATCGTAGTCCGGAAATGTTCACTGATTGTGAAGCAGAATTGTTACAATGTATGTATCTTGTACTTATCATGTTTTTACAATTATTAACAAAATTTCTTTTCAACATTTTTCTAACATTTTTATCCAATTATTTTCTGATATAGAATTCTGAGAACAAAATATAATATATTACTATTATAAAAATTTATGTATATATAGAAATTTGTAATATTAGATTTTGGTTATAAGTAATCTTGGAAATTTGTGTAATATAATGTGTTATATTTATTTTGATTTTTTTGTTTCTTAGTATTTCAAATATTAAAAAAGTGTTTCTATAATACGCGATACTTAATATAGTGTTATTTATAAAGATATAAAATATTCAGAATTTATTTTTAAATGGGAAAACACGTGTGTGTGTGTTAATATATAAAAAAAATACATTTTTATTTATAATTAGACATATAATTCTTATGGTCAATCGTGTAAAAAAGAAAAATACCGTTTAAAAGAGTGCCAAAAGAATATTATTATTACAACCATAAATAATATACACAACAAATTATTATTTCATTTTAATTCAATTTTATTTTTTTCGAAATTTTTCCATGCAATAAAAGATCAAATAATATATATTTGCTTTAGTGCATGAGTTTCAAATCTTTTATCATTGTATATATATATATATATACATATATATATACGTTTGAGAAACTGAAGAGATGTTCAATGAAAAATAAAAAATGGAAAAATAGAAGCGTGTTTCTAGTACATTAATATCGAGAAACGACGATTGCGATGTTATCGTGGTTTTAACGTCCCACGATACTTGACTTAACATAAATGACACTTGCATGCAATACACGATATTAGACGAGACCGATGAACGCATATGTAAAATGATGAATTGAATTGATCTCCGTTTCGATTAGATCTAATGATTTCCTTATTTTCGAATTGTTACGAATTACTTGAACAAATACGATTATTATTTACTGTTATAAAAACGTGTCGTTATTAATATTAATTGTTCATTATTTTATTTTTAATTATTTGCTAGTTTTTTTTTTATTTTTTTAATAAATAATCAACACATATATATTTTTTCATATCTTTTATATTTTATATTATGTATTTATTTTTTTTGTTGTATTATATGTTTTATATTATCATTTATTTGATCGGTATTTTATTTTTAATTAATTGCAATTACTTTTTATAATAAATAATCGACAAATATTTTATCATTGTATAGAAATATTTTATACATTACGTATTATTTTAATCGTAATAAAGATTGCATCAGAATTAAATATAATATTGATCACATTGAATCATTTACGAGGTTGGGTTGAAAAGTTTTAAGCCTCAACAACAAAAACTTTTCTCTTTTTTTTCTTTCAAAGAAATATTTGAAATAGAATAATATTAGATTACGATTAATAGATAGCTTATTAATATTACAAAATTATCACCATAGAAAATGATTAAATTGAAATAAGGCACGCGTTATAACCTTCAGCCAACCACGCTTGACCTAAATGCAATAATTAAGAGCAATCAGTTGTTAAAAAAAAAAATGTGTTAAAGCTGTATACGTAGATACGTCTACGAACAGATTTGCAAAGTTAAATTGACGTTTTCATCGAACCCGTATTGCTCTACATCCGCCAATTGATTAAAACCCTAACGTTAGTAAGTATTAATAAATATAGGTCGTATCTTCTTGGTATTCAAAGATACAAAGATAACACGCGAAAGATAATATTTCTTAAAATTCGTTAAAAAAAGAAAATAGGTATAGCATATAAAAAAAAAAGAATATCAATTGTTTAATTAGAGTATCAGATAAAAATTAAAATAAAATAATACAAAAACCCAACAACAACAACAACAACAACAACAATAAGAATACAAAAATAGATTCGATTTATATCGTTCGTTATAAACACGTTACGCATTTCGTTTAAAACTATTAAATGACGTATAGTCTTGTTAGATTAACCCTTTGTTAAAGAGTTATTAAATAATCCCGATGAGTTTATGGCTATCCTTCGAACTACTATATTCTAAAATTAAACATAATATAATATCGCATAGTTCAAGGAACACATTTGTTATTCATATTTTTTTTTCTCTCTCACTCTTTCTCTTTTTATTTTCAATGAATCGTTGCAAACAATTGCATTCGAAGATTCAAGGACTAATATGATTTGTTAGATTTTTTCTTCTTCTTCTTTTTCTTCTTGTTTTTCTTTTTTTTTACAGTGACACTAAGGTTCGAGTAAATAAATTTCTACTGCCATGGAGAAAGCAAAGGGGGAGACAATAAATATGCAACTTATCGACCCTCAAAGTCCATACAAGTATAATTTTTATTATTCGGAGAAGCAAGTTGTTACAAAAAAAAAAAAACAAATAAAAAAATAAATTTCCATGAGTCACGTAAGAAACGTTGATTTATTTTAATTTCAGAGTTAACAACGAGTTAGCAAGTAGTGGTCTAAGTACACCGGATGCTCCTATGTCACCGACGACACATTCCGAGGAATCCTATGACCCTCATAAACATCGCAATGTACCTAATCCAACCTCGTAAGTGGTACAAAAATATAAATTCAAAATATTACACAAGTAATATTGAACATTTTTATTCTCCACCGTCTCAATCTTATTGGTTTAGAAAATATATTTCTATATTAATTATATTATAATTTTCATTATAATAATATTCATATATAATAATCATATTATTATTATTATTATTTTCATATTAATCAATAATAAAATTTGATAATATTTAATTTCAAATTAAAACAATATTATCTACACGTGTTGAATTATTATCAAAAATTATTTACAAAAATATATATTATATATGTTTTATTATTATGATTTTACACTCACTGCGCTTTTCTAATATAAATAATTTACAATTTATTAAGTATATAAAAGAAAAGATTAAAAATCTAATTGTGCGAACAATTTATTTAAAAGGTATTTATATATATATAAATTTGTGTTTTATAATTCATCTTTTTGTTCTTTTTTGTTTCCTAGAAATGCCGAAACATTGATACACTTGTTAAAGGGCAGTTTGGGTACCGGTATTCTTGCGATGCCAAATGCATTTTGTAATAGTGGCCTTGTGACCGGTGTAATAGCAACCGTCATTATCGGAGCTTTATGTACATACTGCTTACACGTACTTGTCAGGGCGCAATACAAATTATGTAAACGGTTAAGAGTTCCTATACTCAGTTATCCAATGAGTATGAAGTGTGCTCTCGAGCAAGGTCCTCGATGTGTTAAATGGTTCTCGCCGTATGCACCGTAAGTACATAAACAAAAAACCCTGCTCCTCCTTCCACCCCTCAAAGAAAATAAACAACACATTTTTTTTATTAAATTTCTATTACTATTTCATTCTATTTTAATTTTATTTCTCTTTTGTTTTTTTTTTTTGTTTTTTTTTTTTCTTCAGTCAATCGCACTGCTTTTGCACTCCCCCCCACATTTTTTTACGGTGCAATTAAAAATTTGAAAAGGAAAAAGATAATTATATATATATATATATAAAAAAAAAGAAAATCAAAATGAAATTAATCTAACATTCGATTCGGATAGGACGTTATGTTATTTTTATTTTACAAATTTAGTATAATATGAATCTTTTCTTAATGGCTACTACTGGCTGGGTAGAATAAATAATAGAAAAGAAATAAAAAAAGAAAAAAGGAAAATCGTGGTTGGATTTCGTTTACGAATACGTGAGATTGAACACACCGATACGCGTATGTATATACATGTGTATTGTATATGCGTATAGGTTTTTTTTAAGTACCACGATATAGGACCGATACTGATGTTACGTTCCGATATTAAAATGGCTGAGTGGTCTTTCGAGAAGTGGACGGTTTAATTTAAAATTTTTATTTTTCCCAACTTGAGATACCTTCGAAATCCTATATGCTATGTTTTTTTATTAATATTTTTGAGAACATATCGATTGAATTGTTTTAAAACAAAGAAAGAAAGAAACAAATTAAATAATACAATTTTGAAGTTACAATGGATGTGATGCATACTATCAAGTAGTTATGGTCTCACATGTCTGACGAATAAGTAGTAACGTTTTTGTTTTATCAGACAATGTAGTATTATATTATATTTGAATCAAAAAAATGTCTTATTTAAAAGAAAATGATATAGAAATGTTTACAAATTTGTGTAAAAAAGATTACAAAAATAAGCATAAAAATAAACAACTATATGGGTTGAAAAGTTTTAAGTCTAACATGTTATGAAAAATAATTAAGTTCTAAATTTTGTATTCCTTCCCGTAATAAGCTCAAAACATTTCAACCCGCTCATTTTTTCGCACAATATATTCTCGAATTAAACTGTAGATAAAATTTATTTTTTCATTTGAAACAAACTGGTATATAAAAATACACGTGAAACTTCTCTCTTTATTTTTCTTTTTTTTTTTTGAAACATTAAGCATTGGGTCTTACTGTTTGCACAGTGCACGGGCCCCTATCACTGTGTAGAATTTAAATAAAAAAAAATTATCGTTGTCCTGTCAACTTAGTTCTCCCCTTGTCAGACATTTTATTGGTCAATCCAATACATCCCAGCAAGTGTACAAAGTACCGCAGTAGTCAATGAATGCCGTTTTCAAAGTGCAATGGTCAGACACTTTGATTGATCATATTTCCTTAAGAACACCGTAATATTTTTATATATGTATAATATACAAAATTACACATAAAGAAGCAATTTTTATAATATTTAAAATGTTTATAATATTCACGAGCCTGCACAGAAAATAATACTAACGATCAAGCTTATTAAAATAATCATAAGTATCATCGCAGAAATTAGAAAAAAAAAAGCCGATCACATAATTAATACACGAATAACAGCATGCTGCCTATTCACAATAGCATTATTATTATTATTGTTGTTTTTGTTTTTGTTATTATTGTTGTTGATGTTACGATGAAAAAAAAAGAAAGCATCGATAACAGAGTGCAGCATAAGATTTTAATTGCAAAACGTAATAATCCCGACGATCACATAACATAATATAAATAATAGTATACTTTTTTAATTGCTTTTAAATTTGTTTATTAAATAAAAATAAAAAAAACAAACAGAAAACAAAAAAAAAGGTAAAAAGATAATACGAAGAATGTGATATTATTTTCAGAGGACTAGTAGATGGGTTTATGATAGCATATCAATTGGGAATTTGCTGTGTTTACATAGTATTTGTAGCCAAAAATATAAAGCAGGTAAATCAATCTAGAATGTTATTAGAAGAAGATTAAATTAATGTGCTGTAATTTATTTTTTTTCGAAGCAAATGCAAATGAAACAAAGCAGTTTATGAATGAATAAGCAAAAAAGAAAAAAAAAATACGAAACAATATTTCTATTTCTCTTTTTTTTTTTTATATATTTATTTGTATATGCATATATATATACGTATATATATATATAACATATATTCATTATCTAATTTATAAATTTTGAACAAATATTAAATGTGTGCTGACGACCAATGATCATAAATTTATTAATGATAAATCGTTTTGATGAATACAGGTGGCAGACCAGTACTGGGAACCATTGGATATACAAATTCATATGTTCATTTTGTTGCTTCCGCTGATATTGATAAACTACATTAGAAATCTGAAATTATTGGCACCATTTTCTACGTTAGCTAATATTATAACTTTCATCGGACTGGGAATGATAATAGTTTACATGTTCGAAGATGTGCCATCGATTAGCGATAGACAAATGTTTGGTACTGTGAGAAATTTTGCTCTATATTTTGGAACGACGTTATTCGCTTTGGAAGCAGTAGGTGTGGTGAGTTTCACGTAATTTTTTACTTCTCACTGTGATTATAGTAATAGCTATCAGTATCATTGATATTTTATTTCAAGAAAATTTGAATATTTTTCCCTTGAAAGAAAAACGAGCTTGTATAGGAAAAATTAACGGTTCGATAATTTTCGTTTGTGTTAATATTTTATAAATATTTTCTACAAGTGGTCTCGGTATTTTTAATAAAATATTAATGATCGATATTATACAAATAATATCAGAATTAAATTATTAATATCTCAATCGGAATAAATGTTACACATCAAATTATACTGTTACACTTACAAAATTATTATTTTTATTAAAATAAATATATATTCATTTATACTGACTTATTTGTTTAACAAGATATTGTAGACAAAAATGAATAGGATAAAAATTCTTTTATCGGTTATCTACGATCATTGAAACGTGAGATAACCAATGGTTATAGAAGACATCAGAAATAGTCGACACTTGATGGACGATTCACAATGACACAGGCTCATAAATTATTAAATGCTCGCTTACAACGGGTGTCTTATTTTTCCTCTATCCAAGTACACATTATTGCAATAATATAAATTTCATAAAATATTAGCAAGATTAATCATTAAAAATAATCAATACGAAAATTAATCTTTAATTCAATAATCTATCATCTATACTAATTATATCCAAAAAATTCTTTTATTTTAATTGAAAACCATGTCAATGTGTCAATATTCAAATGAAACGTTCGATATGATTTCACTAGTAACAGAGATGTAACATTCATTTTTTTTTTTGCAATGAACAACATCGTGATAATCAAACTTGTCAATGATAATTGATAATTAGTTAAATATATATAATATGATTAAACGTGAGATCATTTGGAATCAATGATGATTCGAATACTAATGGGAAATTTGTTAAATATTTATATATATATCAAATATGACACCCTGTATATTTGCGAGTTCGAGAGTGCAGCATTTAAAGGAGACAGCAACAATGTATCGTATCAATGCGTGTTATTACTTTAATAACGTACCATGATTACTCGAAGAAATGCCAGTGGTTCTCATACAAAATGATTTATTACAGATAATCGCATTGGAAAATAATATGAAAACACCGCAATATTTTGGAGGATATTGTGGTGTTCTTAACATTGGTATGACTGTGATCGTTACTCTTTACATTCTTATGGGTTTCTTTGGTTATTTAAAATATGGATCTAGTGCTGGTGGAAGTGTTACCTTTAATTTACCTGAAGATCAAGTGTAAGTTTATATTTCAAATAAAATATAAGATAATACAAATAAATATCCACTTTACAGATTAAAAAATAAAATAAAAAACAAATATTTTCTTTTCCAACGTAGAATGGCACAATCTATCAAGATCATGTTCGCAATAGCAATTTTTATAACGTACGCGTTACAAGGATACGTACCTGTGGATATTATCTGGAACACTTATCTTAATCAACGTATACAAAATCGCAAAATATTATGGGAATATGTTTGCAGAACTCTCGTTACATTAGCTACGTGTAAGTAATATTAATAAATCAAAAATTGATATATTATATATACAAATTATTCTGAATTATTAAATATAATAATTAACAACTTAAACACACAGTATGCGATAAAAATACTTTAATCGTTAGATTCTTTTTTAAATTTTACGTAATTTTACTTTAAAAAGAAAAACTTTTGCAAAATTGAATGCTTGTCATCGATGATTTTTAGTATTGTTTAACAAATAAATCCTTCGTAACGAATCATTAAATGCACACAGGATCAATTAGAATCTCAACAATATTTGACAATTATGAACTTTTAGAAAAACAAAAAGAAACAAAAAAAGATAGAGATACTTTTAATAGTACATTGATTAAACTTTAAGCTTGTGCAATTAGATTTGTAAAAAACAAAAACTTTAGCTCTTCGAAAAACGTGTTTAAATGTTGTTATCGATTTGTCTAAGTACGAAAAACAAATTTGAGGAACAAAATTAATCCCTAATTCATACACTGTGGGGGAGAGTTAAAAATATTAAAAAAAAAAAAAAAGGAATTAAATATAATTAACGAACAATTGTTTATTATTTTGCAGTTACGTTGGCGATCACAGTACCAAGATTGGGCCTTTTCATATCTTTATTCGGAGCATTGTGTTTATCCGCCCTTGGAATAGCATTTCCAGCCATAATTGAAATATGTGCTCTCTGGCCAAACGAATTAGGCCCATACAAAATATTTTTAATAAAGGATCTCGCTTTGATATTGTTCGGTTTGATAGGTCTAGTAGTTGGAACTTATGTCAGTATAGTTGACATTATACTTTCGTTCAGTCCTGATGCCGGACCACAAAATGATTAAAATTAGTCCTTTGAAATTTGCTGAGGAAAAAAAACGTATATATATATACATATATAAATATACAAAAAACAAATGGAAAGACAGGAAAACAAAAAAAGCAAAATGATGAAAAACATAGGCACGCAGTGTGTTAAGCTTTTTTTATTTTATTTTATTTTTTTTTTCTAATAATTTAGATGAATAAAAATTACTCACGTGCCCGTAGGTGATATTTTAAGGAGGAAAAAGAAACAAAAGGAAAAAAAAAGAAATATATATATATAGAAAAAAAAAAGAAATATATATATATAATAATAATAATAATAATAATTCGCTTCGACGAAAACTTGTCGATCGAAGATTTCTATTGACGCATTCGTTCGCGAGAAGAGATTAATCGAGA